AAAAAAAACACAATAGCGTTTTAGAAATCTAAAATATACATGTATATATATAATAGAAAAAAGTAAAAAAAACATTCGTCAAAAAAATAAAAAGAGAACGTTCTCTGTGACAGTTGCGCGCGTTACGTCATAGACGATAAGCCGCAGTTATTTTTCACAACGGATGACTTTATTTCTGCACCGTCTTCCCGCGCATATTCAAATTCAAATTCAAATCCGGCCTGTCAATGCGCGCGGGCAAGACGGCTTCCTTTTGTTCGGCTGCATCGCTACGCGCCTTTTAAACGACAGAGGGGCGATTCTCAGCGTACAGTCCCTTTGTTTTCCTCACGAAACCACTGTAACTCGGACAAAAGCACATTTGAACGCTGAAATAAGATGTGAAAATAACATTTACACAGTCCGAACGCGGATAACTAGTAAAGCACAGTCTTATGAAGACACAGGTGCTGTAAAGATGGCAGCTTGACGTTTCGAGTAGGCGTCCAGCACATCAACAATGACAAAAGCAGCTTAAGTGACTCGATATAGCACAAATTATAGTAAATAAAACACACTTTAGGACCGAAAATATACGCGTATGTAATCTTATATCAAGCCAAATGAATAACCGCGAGCTCTTTTTCTTGTGAACTTCCAGCACAATCACTCATCTGCAGCGTTAAAATTATAATAGCTTATTAAATTTGAAGTTTTTTTTGTGTTAATATTAGCAATAGGAGTTCAACCAGACACTCAAGTTCCCTCCTTTTGCATTATCTAGTGATCAGGCGGGTCTCACAGGATGTTACTGATTTTTTTACTCGAATAATTATCGAAATATTAATGCACATTTACAGGTTACAGTATTTTAAAACGCCCGTGGGGTTTTATTTTCAGTTGAAAGTCGTTTTTTTTTTTTGCTCATGTTTTCGTCAGAGCGCGGTAAGATTGAGAGTCCGCCTGACAGTGAATATGTAAAATCGACTGTCCGCCATTATAAAACAACCACACGATCGTAGGCGATAACAGCAAAACATGTAAGAAAAAAAAAAAAATACAGACACATATGTACAAATACCAAAATTAATGATTTTTTGCTGAAATAAAATATATCACAGTGCACCCTTACCTTTCTTTTGGGCATCTTGACTGCAGAAAAACGCCGAAAAAAATATCAAAAAATCGGAATAATTGTGTAAATATTGTGTTCGTGAGCAGCGACACCCTGCACGCCTCACAGCGTCTCGTGTAAAATACAATAACGGCGGTATATGTTTTATTAAGTTTTTATATTGGAATTTAAAGATAGAAACCGGTTTAAACCAGATTGTGCATATTCCGTGCGGCGATTGGCTGCGAGAGCGATCACGTATCGGTGGGCGTCGCTTATCTCTTAAAGCAACAATGACAGAATTCCCCGCTCAGGTTTCAGAGCTCAGACCGACGCTGCTGCTCGTCTTGGTAAGAACGGCGCCTCTGCTGGCCACAATGGAATTACACCGGAAATTTAATTCAAATAAATTAACGAATACAGACAAAAAGTGCTAGACGGTTAAGAACATACACACTCATTATTTATTTACATAACTTTACAGCGTTTATATATACACCTTTTTAAGACCAAGTAAAGAATAAATTGAACACAATATGTCAGGTATATGGTTTTGTATTAGCAACACTTCAAAGTTTGAAAATTCAATTTCCAACAGATCTCTATTACTTTTTAATTCATTTTTACATCAAGCTTATGGCTTGATTAGTTCTGCTCCCAACCGCAAGAATATGGAAATAACCTTTAAAAGTGATGTTCTTTATCAGTATTTTAGTCTTGTTTTCCAGTGCAATCTTAAATCAAAACACACTTGAGAAGCAAAATGGCACAAGTCTTGTTTTATGAGAAAGTTATGAAAATCAAGTGAGTTTTCGATCAAAACTAGAACAGATATCTGCGAACAGGCTGAGAAAAATCAACTTCATTCAAAAGGAAAACACATTTTCACACAATTTCTTTCTTTATAAATAAATTCACTTAATTTTCTTCAGTTTCTCAAAACAAGACTTTATGTTCATTTTGAATCTCAAGTAAATGTATCTTGATATAAGGATTTTTAGATATTTGTATTATATTTGTAACAAGACAAAAATACTGAGGCATTTTTGCAACATTTAATGCCACAACTTTATGAATTTAAGACTTTCTGTTCTGATTTAGGACCTTTTTAGCCCTATACATACACACACACACACACACGTGTGTATATATATGTGTGTGTATATATATATATGTGTGTGTGTGTGTGCGTGATCCAACTCACCCATAAAAAAATTATACAAGTAACAGATACACAATTTAAGCAGATACAGGTTTTTAAGATAATGAAAAACATGCATACAAACTTTTTACTGCTACTGTAATTTACCTTTAGAACATAAATGTAGTCCATTAAAATATGTAGTCAGTTTTTTTTTTGCTCTGTCCTCCTAAAATACTTCCTTGTCTAAATGCTTTCGCTTTGAGTAAATTTTGCTCACAGGCCAGTAATATTTGATTTGTGAATTAATTGTTCTTGAGGCTTCAAGGAGTTTTTTTTTTTTTTATTATGAAAAAAAAACTGAAAAGTAAAAGTAAGATCAATCAGATTTAACCTATTGTATTTTCTAGCATTTCTCGTCCAAAAAACAGCCCATGTGGTCAATCAAACTGAATTTATTTGAACATTTAAGATAATTTCTATTTCGATATCAAGCATACATATCCACTGCCCCATAAAACGGGGTGAAACATCCTTCCAGATCTAAAGTATTTACAGATCAGTAAATTAAAAAAAAAAGTTCAAAGCTAAGCCAAGACAGCCTGGCTGCTTAAATCACTGAAGACAGTGTCTCTCTTGTGCTGGAGGGCGTTGAGAAAGCAGTGAACCCTCTCCTCTCGGCTGGCGGTGTAGTTCAACAGTTCTTTCTGTCGACTCTGGGCATCCATGGGCTTTCCATTCCCACGATGCTGCAGGAGCTCAGCCACACAGGTGCGATCCGCTTCCATCTGCTGGAGCGCTTGGCCTTCTCTGTGCAGATCTCCAGCTTTCTGCAACACACAACATGTGTGCTTATGGAAATATTAATGTAACGCTACTTGTGAATTGAATATAATCGCGTTTATGCTTTTGCATCTTTATTAAACTTTAAATAAAGTTCTGAACTTCCTAAAATTATGTTTTCAGGAAATCATTTAGGGAAACAATCATAGTAACGCTTACAAAAACGTACTTGTGCATTAAGCAACAATGGTACATGCTGTAATACAGTATCCTGTGCCTTCATGCTGAAATGTTCTGATTTGTAGCATAATGCCCTTTTATTTTTTTTTACAATAAGGTTATATGAATCTAAGAAGCATTTATGACCATGAATGGTCTGAAAAAAAAATTACAAAATCAATTGTCCTCATTCGCTAATAATTGCATGGATTATTTCGTATTTAAATGCACAGAAGAACTTCTAACAAAAAATGTCTGCATATTTGTTATTAACTTTGTTCTAATGTTAATACATCTGGCATATTCTAAATGATTATTATTGTTTTGAACATTGATAATAATCAGAAATGTTTCTTGAGCTGCAAAATCAGCATATTAGAAGGATTTCTGAAGATCATGTGACACTGAAGACTGGAGTAATGATGCTGAAAATACAGCTTTGATTACAGAAATAAATTACATTTTAACAGATATTCACATAGAAAACAGTTATTTTAAATTATAATAATATTTCACAATATTACTGATTTTACTGTATTTTTGATCAAATAAACGCCGCCCCTAAATGAGTAAAAACATTTGTTTGCAGATTTTACGCACTGTTTCATGCACAGTTAGTGAATGAGACCCAGTGTTTCCAGGTAACAATGCAGCAGTTACCTAAATAAGCTGTAAATCACCATAAAAACAGGATGACAATAGAGTTATGGCATACCTGGAGAGATCGATAACTCAGCTGGTACTGCAAAACAGCTTCACATAGATTCCAGAATGAATATTCCGGCCACAGGACCGACTGGAACACTAGACAGGAATATGAGGTCTGCGGGAGTGTAAGATAATGCAGGATTATGAAAAACATTAATCATTTCAAAGCTGCAGGGCAATATAAATACTAAGAGCAATATGAGCTTAATGCACAATGGACAAGGCAGATAGATAACCATAGGACCGGTGCCATTAGTGTTGATTTGATGGGAAATCTCATTGGAAAAGGCAGTGATGAGAATTATTCAGCTCTTAAAGCAATAGGTTCACCCAAAAATGAAAATTAGCTGAAAAATGCCATCCAAGATGTAGCCAAGTTTGTTTCTTCATCCGAACAGATTTGTTGAAATGTAGCATTTCATCACTAGCTCACCAATGGATGCTCTGCAGTGAATGGGTGCCGTCAGAATGAGACTCCAAACAGCTGATAAAAACATCACAATAATCCACAAGTAATCCACAGCACTCCAGTCCTTCAGTTAACATCTGGAGAAGACAAAAGCTGCATGTTTGTAAGAAAAGAGTGAATCATTGAGGCATTTAAATCATTGCTTCTGTCCAAAATATGGTTTTGTAATCCATAATAACGCTTCCTCCAGTGAAAAAGTCCATCTCCTGTTGTCTCTCACATCAGCCACATATTTGTTTAGAGCTGCTTTAGAGCTGTTTTGGACTGTTTTGGCTTGTAAACGGTGCTTGATCTGTGCAGATTCAAACCAGACCACTTTTTCACTGGAGGAAGCATTATTATGGACAGAGGACTCATATTTTAGCCGGAAGCAACATAATGCATTATGCATTCATTATAATGCCTTAAGAATACCCTTATTTTGTATTAAAAATACGGGCTTCATAGAAAGTGTTACCACAAACTCTTCTACATCTTGAATGACCTGAGGGTCATTCAGCAATTTCCATTTTTGGGGGAAACATTCACTTTATCATATTCACCGAGAAAGACTCAATGTAATTATATGTAAACACAGATTGTTGCACAGTGAATCAAACTATGACTGCCATCTAACTAAAATCCTGTATGTTTGTGTAAGTGCTGTATTTGTATGGCAAGATAGTGACTAAAGGGAATCTCCATTACCTGCCACAGTAGGAAATCACTAAGGCGCACTTCTCCAGACGTACGGATGAGCAGATCGGGGTTTGGAGAATTACTGCTATACAGACACTCACTGAGGAGCACCTCAGACACATCACTGACCAATCACAAAGAGAAGAACACAATTAATCATATGTTACAGGTCATAAAACAGCTGTTATCCTGCTTTCTCAAACTATGCGAAAAGCAAAGCTTACCTGGGTTTTATCAGGCCCTGCTCCACTCCCCATGCCATTTCCTTCACTGCATTTGCGATTTCATGTCTTGAGGTATATGCAAAGCACACGTTCAGAAAACACCTGCAACATAAGAGAAGAGCAAATGCATCAGATATAGATCATGCTCTAAAACAGAAAGAATGTTTTTTAAATCAGAAACTGCAGTTCAAACATTTGGGGTCAGTCATTTTTTTATTTTGAAACAAATTAAGTTTTATTCTGCAAGGATGCATTAAACTGACCAAAAGTAACAGTGAAGACCTTTATAATGTTACAAAAGATTTCTATTTCAAATAAATGCTGTTCTTTTGAACTTTCACAGCACAACTGTTTTCAACATTGATAATAATCAGAAATGTTTCTTGAGCAGCAACGCAGCATATTAGAATGATTTCTGAAGCATTATGTGACACTGAGTGTGTTTACATGCACATTATTAAGCTGATTATGCTTAAGCCGACAACGCATGTGGTCACGTTTTCTTTTATCGGAGTAAGGTCATAAACGGTTTAAGCACAAACCGGTCGACACAGGTAGTTTTTTGCCTCTTACCCCGATTTCGCACGGCATATAAATGCATTAACCTGCTTTCTGTCGGCTTATTGAAGTGCGCAAGTGCGATGTGACAGGAACGCATCGTTAGTGCAGTAAAGAAAGAAGGAAATAGATCACAAACACAGACTCTTTCATGACTCAGAAAATCATAAAAATGTGTTCTCATCTCGTGCAGCAGAAGTGGTTCAGTCACAACGCTGCATCTGTAACTGCATGAGAGGATAATATATGAGCTGTAAGTCTCCCGCTGACATGGTGCAAGCTTTATTTAACATCACAACATATGGAATACTCCGAGTCAGATACGCAAATGATTGTTTTGACGTCACTATGGGGAAATAACCTGATTTATTAATAAAGTCATGTAAACGCGGTTTACTTGTGTTGTCAGGTTACTGATGTGCATGTAAACTGGGAAACCTTTTAATAAGCTGATATTTGTGAGTTATCAGCTTACTGGTGTGCATGTAAACGTGCTTACTGAAGACTAGAGTAACGATGCTGAAAATTCAGCTTTGCACCCCAGGAATAAATTGAATTTTTAAATATTTTCAAATATAAAAAATATATTTTAAATTGCAATAATATTTCAATTTGCGATACAGTACTTTTATTATTATAATTCATTATTTTCACACAATTACCTGCATCACCATAATTCATGACAAATATTATGAGACCTGGACTACTGAAAGGTTTGGGGTCAATAATTGCATTTTATTTGTTTCTTTTCAAAGAAATTGAATTTATTGAAAATGAGAGTAAGGACATTTCTAATGTTACAAAACAATTCTATTTCCAATAAGTGCTGTTCTTTTGAACTTTCTATTCATCAAAGTATCCTGAAAAATCAAATGTATCACAGTTTCCACAAAAATATGAAGCAGCATGACTGTTGTCACACAGTGTTTTCAACACTGATAATAATCAGCATATTAGAATGATTTCTGAAGATCATGTGACACTGAAGACTGGAGTAATGATGCTGAAAATTCAGCTTTGATCACAGGAATAAATTACATTTTAACATATATTCACACAGAAAACAGTTCTTTTAAAATGCAATCATTTTTCACAAACAATATTACTGTTTTTACTGTATTTTAATGCAGCCACATTTTTGATCAAATAAATGCAGCCTTGGTGAGCAGAAGAGACTTCTTTCAAAAACATCAAAAAATCTTTCAGACCTCAAACTTTTGAACAGTATTGTAAATTATAGAGTGCAAAGTGTACTTGTTTATTGAGTAGGGCTAGGCAATATTGCAAAAAAAAAA